CCTGGGGAGTTCTGAATGTTGCTACTCATCTTCACGTTCCAGCGCCTCCTGCTGCACCCTTTCAAATAACAGGGGAATTTGGAAGCCCCCATAATGATCAAAGCCGGTACCCTGTTTCCCCGAAAATAAGATCTACCTCGAAAGAGCTAGCACTATTTTTCAAGATTCCTGTAATACAAGACCTACCCCGAAAATAAGACCTGGTTTGGTGGTAGCATGTGAGGGGGAACTTGCAGGAGACATGGTATCAGCCTGCAGGGACACACTGTATTAAGGGCATGACAGGGAGCACTCCAGTACCATACATCACCAACTGCTGTCCCCCTGAAGGCACTGCTTAATGTAATGGTACCGGTAAATGGTACTGTACTTTACCGCGCTGTTCACTGTCTGATGTCCCCACTGCTGGTACCACTGTCCCTGGTGGCAAAGGAAGCCTGCGCTGTAGTAAGCAAGGCTGCGCGGCGGAGGGAGCAGAGCCGCATTAGCCAATACTTCCTCTATAGCGCCAGTTACTGTGACAGGCGGAGTGATACCAGATAACTTTAGATTGTTGTACATTTTTTTGCACATTAAAAAAAAAATAAGACATCCCCTGAAAAACGCTCAAACACCGAAATCCCATTATTTCCTATGGGTATAGTTCACACATGGGCGTATTACAGGCCGCATGAACGCGCTACAAAACGCCCAAAGAAGTACAGAAGCTTCTTTGGGGCGTATTTGCCGCGCGTATCCATTGGGATAAAGCCAGGTAGTCCTCGGAAACGCGCGTTTGTGGCCCGGTTTTTTACCGCGAATCGCGGTAAAAACGCACGACAGGAAACGCGCCACAAACGCGCCTAGGTGTGAACCCAGCCTTACAGGGATGAACAAATCCCAGCAGCAAAGTAGCCAGTGCTCCTTAAAAATTGCAGCTGCTGCCTAAATTTTAGGCCCCATTACCACTGGATCTGTTTGTGGGGTGGTAACAAACGGGCATTGAAAAACAAATGGGTGGGAAATAAGCAGTTAACACTGCTTTGGCATTGCCGTAAGTTGCATTTAAAAAAAGTAAAGCATGCTCTTTTTTTCCAGCACAACACATCAAATCAAAAAAGCGTGCGAACGCACAACACAACGCATTGCAAGCTATTACAGTGAAGTATGTCCACTCAGGACATGTTACTTCACATAAAGCTTGCAAGAGGAAAAAAAAGCCACGTGATGGAACACAACGGATCGGAAGGAAATCAAAAAGGTACAATCGCACGCCAACCCTCCATGGACCTGAGAGAACCTTCGGATTTTGGTGTGAATACATAGATGTAGTCAATAGAGGTGGCTCTTGGAAAAAAAAAAGAAAAATCCTGATGGCTCCTGAATTCCACAACAATTTGTCCTGCGCCCCTGCTATCTAGCATCTACCAAAAACCAAGTGTCATTTTGTGTGATCTGAAGATAAGGGGGTATCCGAAGCCCCCAAAAAACAACAACAAGAAATAGTATGTCTAGCATACAGAAGGGTCCCATGTTTGGTGGCAAACTTTAACACAGCACTTTAATTACAGATAACACTCACAAAGTCAACATCAGGTCCTGCCACAGAGCAGCTACCAAGCTAATGTCCAAAACCACATCCATGAAAAAGTCATGCTTGGGATTGCTCAGTCCTATCTCCTAAGCATTCCTGTTGGTCACTTCATATGATGGGGGGCCCTATTAACAAACAGGAAGCTCAAGAAGGAGGGCGTAAAAGGAAGCTAGGCTTTTACAAAAAAAAAAAAAAAAAGATCTGCTTGCAACATCAACTGTCTGTATCTCTGAATCTTCAGAATGATTCGTCATGCACCAAAGTTCACCACTTGACTTTTTATGCTCAGTTTTGAACTGCCCAGGTTTGTGGCAAGTTTACTTTAAGTAACCACAGAAGTATCTCAGCAATACAAAAATAAACAAAAAGGCCAAATAAAATAGGGTTACCATAGTAACTATCCCTGCCGGTCTGTGTGTGCGCGTGGTAAGAGAATGCAGTGTTCTTTCCAATCATGGATTTCATTTTATCAAGTTTCCCAGCAGCTTGCATGCAAGAGCTTTCTTATAACTTAATGTAAAAAAAAAAAAAAAAATCTAAAATAGGCAGCTACAGTTTTTTGGATGATTGGATGTAGGCATTGTTCAGGTATTTTGAGAGCCAGCGGGGTCAACTAGCAAGATACTGAAGCTTGGCCCAGCGGGATATTCCTCCATCCACACAGTGTAGCATAGATGGAGGAATCTGTTGCACCTTTTCCATCGGACCATAGAAAATTTGCAGATGTATGGCCAGCTTTACGCTCCTGGAAGCGCCAAATGCCAAAAATGCTTGCCAAGGCTACAGTGCTGGAATAGAGGAGTGGTAGAAAGAAAAAAAAAAAAAAAAAAAAAAAAAAAGCCCCGGAAAAAAAAAAAAACAATTT